ACATTAAAGAGTACAAATTTCTTGAAATGACAAAAGTAGTTTTTTACTTTTAAACAGACGTAAATTTAAATCAGTCATAAGAAATTATATTTGTTTACCATTTAAATATTAAATCAGCCGTAATTAATGTTGTTTGTTTTAGTTGCCACGATTTTCTCCAAACTAAATTAACAACTGCCATGATTTAAGGGCAACATCTAATGATGCTCTATTTTTAGGAGACATTAAATGTATTTGGCGGGAAAAACTTGCTAAAAGTGTTAAATGGTTAATCTTTTAATATAATAATAGATTGTTGTAAAATAAATTTTGACAAATGTCAATAAATTAAATGAATTGTGAACCATGTAGGAAAAATATTATGTTTACAACTATGAAATTAAAAAATTATCTCCAATGCACAATGTAGTGTAACTAAAATATTATCTACTTACCAAATTATTAAAATATATAATATGTAGTAAGAAAATTAATTAAATAATTAAATAATTTATAATTGGTAAGAATAAATCTCTCTCTTCTCTTATTGGTTAGCTAGAGTATGGAGGAGAATGTGGATGAACCACATTCTTCTCTACATTGTAGACATTAATTATGTCCACATCATCACAACATTTGTGATCACATAGTACATTCGAGGATGAAAAGTTGTGACATTGCTAAATATGTTAATGTAAAATGTAATTTACAACAACAATATTTGAACATTAGAGATGCTTTAAGAATTGATCCAGATCCAATAAGTGAATTCTTGGAGGGAACTTTTTTATAAAGATGGGAGGGTTGAATGGTGGGGTCTTAGTTTTTTTGGGTATTATTGTTGTAATAGGCTTATACTTTTTTGGAAAAAATCAGAAATAATAATATAATATAAATTATTTGTAAATCAGAACTTATACTTCAAATTTGATTATAAAGTTTGTTATATTAAATCTACTTAAATTTAAATAGTTATTTAAATTTTTAAAGCTTTTTATTACGATCAACATATCTAAATTATTTGTAGAGTTTTTTTAATTGGCTATGTAACAATATCTTATACAAAAAAGACATCATAATAAATTAATCGGCCCATCTATGATAAAAACATAATAAAAATATACCATGTGTAGAGTTTTTGTGATACTCCATCTCTTCACACAATTTGAAATGTTTATACCTAACAGGATTAACACGTACATTAATATTGATTATGATACTTGATTATGAAGATCTTTTCATAGTTATCTAAATTAGGTAGATCTTTACATAGTTATCTAAATTAAGGATAAATCAGATGGTATATTTACATAGTTATCTCAATGACAATTGCTCAAACAATAAAATTACAGAAAATATTGATATCTATGTATATTGTGTTATTTCATTATGATATAAAGTCATTTAGGATTTTGAAATTTGTTTGTACGACCTAAAATAGGCACAAAGATCAACTGTTGTGGAATTTTTTTGATATCCGATTTCGTTAATTCGAAAATAGGATCATCACCAGATGATTCTTTTTTTATTTAAATTAGGCAATAATCGGATATGTTGGAATAATGCGAAATTTAATCTCTTTTTAAATTAGATTTTCTTTTTTATTTAAATTCGAATTGTATAACAAAAAATTCGGTGAAATTAAAAATATATATGTAAATCATATATAAAAATATACCACGTGTAGAGTTTTTGTGATACTCCATCGGTTCACACAATTTGAAATGTTTATATCTAAAAGGATTTAACCGAAAAAATTGATTATGACACTTGATTAGCGGAAGATCTTTACATAGTTATCTAAATTATGATACTCGATTTTTTTATACAATTAAAATTTTATATTATAATAAGTTACACGAAATTTTTAGTTAATTGTTTTTGGTTTTGATTTAAAATGGTACAAAAATTTATTAGGAAGGTTGTTATATTAATTGTTTTCAAATCTCTACCTCATTAGTTTACATTTTTTTATTAATATCTAAATTAGTCATCAGTTTTGATCATCATGGGATATATCCAAATTTAAAATCAACTAATTGTGATACTCGAGTTCTTTTTAAAATTCCTGCAAAATTATAAAAGGTAAATTACATGAAAATTGAATATGAAGAAATTTAAATTAAATTAATTTATATAGTTATGTTAAAGAACGATGTAAATAGTTATCTGCATATTTAACCTTTTATCATATTGATCAACCATAAGTTTATAGAGGACAAATAAAATACAAAATAACTATTTAAGTAAGAAATCGAATAATATTGAAAAACATAAATAATTTACGTTCCCACAAATGATAAATAACTAACAGCAAACCATAATAATGACATGGAATAAATCTTAGCAATATTCAAAATGGAAAAATACATAATTTCATTCAATCCTAAGATAGACATGCAGTAATATTAAATTAAATATCATTCAATCCTAAAAAGCCATCTTGCTCCTCGCTAATAATACGGACGGATTTTGTGATACTCCGTCAATATTTTAACGGATTTTGTGATACTCCTAAAAATATGGAATGATTTTTGCCATATAAACCAAAAAACAAAAAACCAATCTATGCGCACCGAATATTGATTTTTTTAGATGTTTAAAATGATTTCCATATTCAGTAAGTCAACTTTGTTGACTGTGATTTTTTTTAAACTTTCCTCATTTGATTTATTGACATATCTTTTTCAATATATATAGATTTTTGCAAGCACTACCTAAAATATCTAGCCTTTGCTACCTGTAGTTGGCTGGTTTTTTTAACTATACATGGTATTTTTAGTTAGAAGTTGTGCGCTTCTGTATTCATTGCATTTTCGCTTGAATCCCATTTTCTACAACCATGAAAAATGTACATGACAAATGGAATTTTTGAGCTTTTTTTCCCACTGTTTGATTGATTGTTTTATATATACATTGGTCATCTTGGACGTGTAAAAATTAGTTTGTCAACAGATAAAGCTATGAGTAGTGAACTCAGCAGGATGAAGTTTATTGGCGGACACTCTTTTAGTGAAAACATCCACTAATGGGTTGCTGAGTACATAATGCATGTGATTATCCTTTAACAATTTCACCAAACGAAGTGATTCAATATAACACCATGTTAAGCCATAAGATCATCATAAAAGGCAAGCTTACGGCCAACGAACATGAATATTTAAGCCGGACAGAGACAAATAAGAAAATTGATAACATCATAGTGCCAAAACAGATGAAACTCGAAACGGTTCACAAAGTCTATCTTATTCAACTACACATTTTGGAGGCAGAAAACCTCAAGCCAAGCTAAGATAACAGTTGAGAATGAGAATAACATTGTGCATTCCACGTTTACTTGGTAGAAATTGCAGCCTCTTGCTTCCTCTGATCCGTCTTGCGTAACCAATCCTAAATTATAAGAAATATGAAAACCAATGATAGATAATTAAAAGCAGATCTAAAGTTTGTATTTAATTTAAAACACAGAAAAACCCAGGGAGACAATTTAAGCAACAATTTGAAGTGGAAACATGTAAATTAGACATTAGCAGCGAGAAGAACGTAAAGCAGTCATTTTCTAGTTTACAGAATGCATCAAATGTACCAACAGGTAGCTATTATGTATAGACCATGAAGGTCCTAAATTTTTTGTATAATGCTTATTGGCAAACTCACCAAATTTATTGAAGATATAACACCAGGGCAGGTTAATGGTAATCACTATGGAACGATAAAAGTCCCAGCATTAAGCGGACTGCTTATAACTCATAATAGTAACTGATAAAAAAATTAAGACAGCAAAGCAAGATGACCAAACCAACTCTTTCCAGAATACAACTTTCTTAAAATAGTATTGAAAGAACAATATGAGATATCATATAAGAACCCTGTGTCCAAGAATATTGTGCTTATAACACAGTAACACATGCTTCTCTTCAAGAAAAATGTGCTTTTGAAACACGCTTCTCTCACCTGAGTCTTCAACTATAGTTGGCTAAACTTCCCGAATCCAAGAAATTAGAACCAACATGATCAATAGATGGTTTCGTTTGATAAACTAACAAAATATACAGACATTAAATCATCTTAGCTACAGCAACCTAGTTTTTCCACAGAGCAAACTAAATAAGACAAGAAAAACTAGAAAAGCTGGAAATAGTTGAGACTGTACAACTAAAAGATGCTTAAAAGTACAAAACTCATCTGATTAACATTTAGCTAATTGCTCAATTACATCCTCACATCAGTGTTAAGATTCCATTGTAAGCTTACTTCGAAATAGAGTTTGACCTTTCCAAGAAATACCTAATCAAAATTTTATATAGCTTCCATTTGAATTATCTAACATCAAGTGCACTGTTGTTTGCAGTAAAGACACCCAATTGTGTGCTGGCCCAAGTTGATGATTGATCACTAGCAATAACTGGAATGAATATCCAATAAATAGATCTGTTCAAAGCTCGTTGTTAAGGATTAACTCGAAGTTTCCTCCCCATGTCAATTTTTACTTCTACACACTTTGAGAAACATGAAATTCTAGTTGAAAATCGCATCAAAAGTCAAAATCTAGGGAAAATTATTTTTGCGCAGGAATCCATCTGATGATTTTTAGCAAAGAGAACCAAACAATCCGATGTTTGCTAGTAAATCCAAAAAAATAAAAAGAAAAAACACACACACGCAACAAAAAACGAATGGCAACACATAAAGATTAAATCATTCTAAAAGAAAAATACACAAAATAAATATAAATAAATTCAGATTAAAGTGAAAGCAAAACTAACGTTTTCAACGAAGAGGAGATCGGCGGCGACGACTGTGCCGATTATTCCGGCGAGGATGGTTGCCGGACCGGTCAGCAAACTCCATTTTCTGTGTATCATTGTTCCTCAAATTGAATCTCTTTCTCTCTCTAGCTCTCGATTTCTCGATGGCAAATTTACTGTTAGATATGTGTTGGACTGACGGGCTTTGTGAGTTCTCTCTAGCTTTATAGGCTTCAGTGAAGTCCACGCTCATGGATAACAATGGGCCCATAGTTATTGGGTTTGGTATCGTATTTGGGCCTTATTTTGAACTTTCCTTTGGTAAGATCTACAATCGTACTTAACCAACCTAGAAAGCACAATTACTATTTGAAAAAATTGAGCAAATAAACACATATATTCCACTTAAAAATTTCATATGGCATGTATGTCCCAAACCTGTCAGTTATGGAATGAAAATGCCAAGGTACTAATATGTAATCAAACACATCTTTATATCTATATGATACAAAAAAATATAAAGAAAAATTAATTGTGATAATTAAAGAGGATAATAGCTAAATTGATTTGTATTGTATTAAGTTTGAATTTATCTTGTTCTCTTGATTATGTATTAGTCCACGTTTACTCAGTGTAACCGTAATATAAACCTTAGTTTTTTTTATTGACAGACAATGTCTCTAACAATATATTCATCCACTATAATATAAAAAAGACCTTATCATACCACAACAATGGCGTTCATCCACTATAATATGAAAAAGACATCATAAAAACAACATTTGTAGGGATAATATAATAGCAATAGTTATATACCACATATAAAAGAAACAAAAGTTAAATGTTTAAGTATATCCGAACAACATGTAAAGTAATTGATTAACACATATGTTAACTTATAAAAATGTAAACACCATAACTAGACCTATTATAAACTGCAATTATACAATATTGTTATTACTAATTGAACTATATATAAACATCATATATATAAAATATTGTTATTACTAATTGAACTATATATAAACTATCATATACATGCAGAGGTAACCAGATTTCGGATCACAATCTAATCTTTGTATATATGAAGGGGTATGTCGTGCAGTCTGAGACGGCCGACGGCCGGCAGAGGTATGAGGCGTGGACGCTCGAGAGAATGGCGGTGCACGAGGTGCATGGAGAGTCGTCGAGGAGGGACTGGTTGCAAGCGGTGACACGGCAGACTCGAAGTCCGATAGGGATGTGAGGTTCATGCAGCCGACAATGTCCACTCCGCTGTCGATCAAATTGGTCATCACGAAAAACAAAGGACGTTGAGGGCAGGCCAAGCAATCCTTAGAGAATCTTTTATCCTCACTTACCTCGATGTCCCTCTCGGCGGAGCCACCTTTGCTGTCGCCAATTACTACTTCCACTGTTGGGATCTATAAGGATCGTCGCTAATGTGCAAGGTACAAATTTATCCACAAAATTACCTATGCGCAGAGGATCTATAGGTAAGGTAGAAGACTTACAGTTTAATATTTTGCAGACTGAGACGTTGTAGAAACGTCGCGGGTCGCACGGCATCATGGGGACGAGCAATGACCTGGGCACGAGATTGTCGCGGGTCGCAGTGGGTCATCACCAGGAGTAGGCGGACGGCGGCGTCTAGGCGCTGCGAAGGAGCAGGTCGCGTTGAATCGTCACCTGTGGGCTCGTGTCATCTCGTGGCAGAGTTGGGCGGCCGACGGTGGTCGGGTGCTCGACTACCTCAAAGTCTTTTATTGAATTACCTAACAACTCTAGAACTCTCATTGTTGGGAAGGTGAATCTAGATATCTCTATGTGTGTATGTCTTGGAAGACTAGAGAAGAGGTGTATTTATAGGCTTCAATAGAGACTCTAAGGAGGCATTAAATTAGGCTTTTACTATTTGGGCCTAACTGTGGGACAAGCTACCAAGCCCAAATAAGAATATTACAGTCATTCCACTAAAGTAGTATTATTGAATTCTTTCAATCTACTTCCCAAATTACGATTTGAGCTTCACTCCTAAAATACTTGAATTACCTCCTCTGTTTAATATATAATGTCCATCAATTTATTTAATTATTATTAACTAAATTAATCGACTTCTTGAACTGAAGCTAGCACCAATCAATACATTATTATTATGTCGGAATTTAATCCACTTGCAGGGTTTAACATAATAATCCTTCTGAACTCATTTTGGGAACATCATCAAATCTCAACTTTGTGAAGTACATGGTGACCGTAAATATTATAACAGAACATCATGTCATGTAGGAATTACTACCCAACCCAGACAGTTATTGGTCCATATCAATCAACCTCACCTTGCTGAATCAAAGAAGTAATTACTACATGTATATGTTTGTTTATATCTTACGGATTAAGAGAACGCAGCCATTAGCTGAGACCTAGTTCGTTTACGACGATCAGTATAAAATGAACTGCTCCTATCTGGGATCCAGTCAATACACCAATGTGTACTAGTGCGACTAATCAGTCAAGACCGACTATATCGCTCACACTACAACCGTTCAGATTCTAAAACGCAGGGTGTCGCGGCACGATGCTCTGGGAATGCACGGGTCTCTACCATCGTAACGCGGACGCAATGCTTGGTTCGTCGCGAGGCCACGCACTGTCGTTGCGTGAGGGGCTGCTGCGGCTCGACGCCCTGGACGTCCTTGATGGCGTTGCTCGGGCATGCTGCGGGAATGCACAGGCGCGCACGTGGTGCACGCTGGAGTGCCCGAGGCTGTTGGGAGACACTCGGTGAGGGGTTGGGAGCCAGCTGCGGGCATGTGTGCCACATGCTCGTACATGCTCATACGGACTCGGAATTGAGTCCTGTCTTTTCCTACTCGTCACCAACAAACGCTTCTTGATAATTTCACTTACACAACTAGGATGACCACTTTCTCCTAGGATGGTGGAATTCAAAACATATGGTCAAAGATCTGAGCCTACACACCCAAGAACACGGGAAAAACAAGAGAAAACACAGAAAAATTAAAATAAAATAAAACACACGACAAGCGACTAAATGGACCAAAAAACTTAAAAAAGACCTAAAACGGTGAAAAGTTACAAGCAAACAAATAACAAAAATAGGACAAACAGATACTAATGGATCTAGCAATAAGTTTCCCGATAAAATACAATTCATAATAATAAATAAATAAGCTAATGGATTTGGAGATGTGTCCCTTTCGTATTTATTCAATGTGTTCACTTAATTTTCCAAATAGTATTGTTTATGTTTTCAATTATGAATACTTCTTATCATTCCCTTCTACGGGTACTCATTATACTTAAGTATGTTGTTATTTCATATCTAATTTACTAGTCAATTGTAGTGTAATATTATGATATTTTGTGATAATTTTTAATTTGTCACACGTATGATCAAATACAAATCCATAATTTGTGGCATAAAATGGACTATTTATGTTGAATAGTTTGTCACACTAAAGTTCTTTCAAGTGACAATATATTTTCACTGATATTTTTTAATTGTGACGAATGGATAATCATTATGCCTATGTGTTTAGTGAAAATTATCATCTACATCATATACTTATTCATAACAGAATATATCGTCATATTTTATATGCATTTGGAGAGGGTAAACATCCATGTCATATAGTACAACACAACTTCTATATGATTTAATATATCATCACCTTTAATATTCATTTGGTGACAATGAATATTTCGTCATTAACCATACTTTTCTATGACACGTTCGTTTTGTCGTTATAAATATTTCATTGTTGACAACTAATCTTTTGTAACTATAGTACAAGTCTTTCATGGAAATTATAATATAGATGACAAACCTTAGATAGTATTTCAGACAAACCAAGTGTCTTGACATTTTAAGAATTCAACAATAAAAACAATTGTTCTAAGCGTACACAAATTTTCAGATGACAAAATTTTATATGTTCTTCATGAAAAGGATAACGTTTAGTAACAATACAAATAATTTTTTGACAAAAATTTCATCATAAATGTGACAAGTGAAGCATCACCAAATATCACAAAGCTACAATGACAATCCTAATTATTGTCATATATGTTTAACATCAAATGAGAAATTTAAAAATTGTCATATAGACCTTTTATGATGCGGTTACAGCGATACTCTATGACACCCAAAACTCGTCACCAAATATATTTTGTGACGAAAATTCACATTTTTTATGATTTTGTCATGTTTTATCAACATTCCTATAGCTGAGTCGGGATCCTATTGCTACAATTCTTGAGAGTAATTACTCAATGTTTTGGTATTCACTTGACGATCATGCAAGTCAGATGCAGGTAATGACCCTCTTCATGATATTAATACTCGAGAATTTTTCAATGGAATTAAGTGCTCAGGATTGCCAAATCATGAATTGCACTTAAAAGTTGAAACTCCAATAATGCTACTGAGTAACTTTAATCATTTCATGTGATTGTGCAATGATACACGTTTGATTATTACTAAGCTCAGCAGTCATGTCTTCTAAGGTAGAATACTAATAGGTTTGAAAGATGGTGGTAAAGTTCTGATTTCTAGACTAACAATCATATCAACGGTTCGTAGGTACCATTCAAGTTTCAGCGTAAGGAATTTCCTATCATAGTTTCCTATGCTATGACAATCAATAAGATCCAGTTCCAATATCTGTCGCACGTGGGTTTAGTACTGAAGAACTCTTTTTTCAGCTATTGACAGTTATACGTTGCTCTTTCCAAAGTTACGAATTGGAAAGGGGGAAGATATTGATTTGTAGCAATGATAATTCGAATTATAGGAAAATTAAGAATGTTGTGTATAAATTTTTTTTAATAACATTTAGAATTGGTTTCTTAATTTGTTTATTTCATTGGTACAAACAAAATTGTATATATATATATATATGTGTGTGTGTGTGTGTGTATGTGTATGTGTGTATTAATTTTAATAGTTATATCTACAGAATATTAATTTATTATTATATTTTTGTATTACTTTTTCTTTTAAAATAATTCGGTGGTCCTAGCACATATTGATAACTAGTTCAAATTAAAAGACTTTCAACCAATTAATTCTACAATAAATAAGCCGTGACTTCCATATTTAATGTCTTTCACTCCGTGCCAATATTACAATTCCTCCTTACTTGGCCAACTAGTACGTACTCGTGCGATGCACGGGACAAAGATATTAAATAAATTATTTTCACAGCCTCTGTCCATTTAAATCTAAAAAGCAATATGGTTATCATCTATTTTCCACCTATTTTAATGAAATCTAAAAAACAATAGGGTTATAATCTATTTTTCACCTCTTTTAATCAACGTAGGTTTTTTAGTCAGAACATTAAAAGCATGTTAGAGTTAGCTTGTAAAATAATTAATATATTATCTTACTAACACATTTATATTAATATAAATTTGAGTTTAGTATATATATTTATTCCTTGATGTAAGAGAAAATAACAGTTTTATTTATTCTTATTCTCCATATAATATTTAATTATTATTTTATTCTAAACTTTGTTGTCATATAATATCATTATTATTTATAATAGTTATAGAAGTTCTACGTCTTCTTTTTCTTTTTATTTTATGTAATGAAAAATATTTAATGCACGTTGGTATTATTTATTTATGTATTTAATTTAAAATATGTAAATAAATTTAAAATTAAATAAAAAATAAATATTTTACAAAATACACACACATGTTTTTTTAGAATTTAATTTTGTATACTAATTAAACAACTTTGATTTAGCAAATGCCAAAAACACAATTCCTTCTATAATCAAGATTTTTTCTAATTTGCAGTATAAGGATTTATAGTTTATTTAGTATACTATACAGTGAAAATATATTTTACAATAATTTCATTATAGAAAAAAATCAAAGTAAAATAAAATAATAAAAAAATAATCATGGTTGCCAGTAATATACAAATAATATCTCAAATAAAAACTAGTCCTGGTGTGAGAACCGTGAGAACAGTTTTTTATGCTATTTTTAATTGTGTATGATGCCATTTTTGATATTAGATTATGCTATTATTTTTACAAGTGCTACCAGAAATTGTGTTGCTATTTTTAATAAAAATCATCCTAGTTAAAAACAGCATCAAACACAATCAATCATAACACTACGCCCCTATAAAAATAGCGGTTCTCACGGTTCTCATATTGAGACTTGGTTCTCATTTGAACCACATCCTATATATATATAAACAAAGGATCATATGAGAAAGGGAGATATTGAAAGAAATAAGAATGATCGTAGA